CTGCAGCGCCTTACAGAACCAAACAGAACCAAACAGAACCTCTGCAGCGCCTTACAGAACCAAACAGAACCAAACAGAACCTCTGCAGCGCCTTACAGAACCAAACAGAACCAAACAGAACCTCTGCAGCGCCTTACAGAACCAAACAGAACCAAACAGAACCTCTGCAGCACCTTACAGAACCAAACAGAACCAAACAGAACCTCTGCAGCACAGAGAACTGCAGAATTTTGAGTGAATTAAAATTTTGCAAAAAGATAAAAACAAAGAAATGTGAATCAGGTGTGTTTCCATCAGCTGGCATGAAGTGAATCAGTTACGTCAGACGTGTGTGTAGTAAACAGGAAGTAGTAAACAGGAAGTAGTAAACAGGAAGTAAAACTCACAGGGTCACACATGTCAGGACCATGGAGAGAAGTTATCAGAAAGTTGTTCTTATTCTTTCAACACGTTCCTGATAGCTTCTCTCCATGGTCCTGACGTGTGGACCCTGTGAGTTTACTTCCTGTTTACTACTTCCTGTTTACTACGCACCTGATTCTGACATGATTGATTTGCTTCAAGCCAGTTGATGGAAACACGGGTTTAGAGCAGAACTGTGCAGGAAGGCCAGGGCCAGGCTAGTTAATCCTGAGTTCTAATCTAGACTTTCACCAGAATAAAAGCGCTGATGAGCTGTTGAGCCACAGCTTCACTGTAATTAAAAAGAAAGTTTGAATCCAGATGCTGGTGTTTGGGAGGAACAAAGTCCCAGCTGGTCCCAGCTACCTGGGGGTCCAGGCATTGTTGTTGTTGTCAGCAGACCCCTGCAGGGATTTCACTTTCCCCCACATGCAGGCTAAAGTGGATTCACAGCAGGGATCTGTCTCCTTCTCTTCTCTCTCTCTGCTCTCCTTTAACTGGAGGCCTCAGAAGAAGTCCTTTGTGCTCCAACAAACACTCATGCTCTTGCACAGAAGGGGATCCTCTCCTCCATGAAAGGCTTTGATGAATACCAACCTCCTGAGTCCTGAGTCACACACCTCCACACACTGGCTCTGACCCCGTCACAAAGAGAAGGCATGCATTCATTAGCAATCCTGTGGAAAGCTCTGACTGGTTGGCCATTGTTGTTGGAGTCACCTTCAGCACCCCTCCTTCATGGTCTCATCTCTCCTCACATCTCTGCAGTGTCGTTCCCACACTCTGTTGAGCAGGAGCACAAACTGTGAGGAGGAAGACATGACTCCTCCTCGATTGCTGTGTTTTCATTGTAAATGTGCACAAAACTTTGTTGATATTCTGTTAATGTTGAAAAACACAGTTTCACAACTGCAGTGTTTCCATTAAGTAATAAATGTTATTAAAGTCACGTGAATACGTTTGTTCTCATGATAAGTCATTACAAACATGGCAGCGATGGATGTAAACACATAGCATGTTGCTACCACGACACTAGCGCTCATCATCAGAGGAGACGTCGGCGTCTTTTATCGAGGCTTTCCAGAGACAAGTCCCTACTTGGGAGCGGCTACGTATGCTGTGTTTTTGGGAGATTGCAGTTGTGATATTACTACTATTTCTACTTCCTGTTATCTTCTTCATCGTCTTTTTCACCAGTAGAAACAGCTGGTTGTTGATCATGTGACTCCTGTGATGTGAAAAAACTGTTTCCATTGCAGTTTTGCGAAAAACACCAAATTTGATACGGACGAAAAAACACCTCATCCTAGCGCAAAAACATTTTGTCGAAAAATGTAAGTTTTTTGTTTCAAAATTGACGTGTTTCCATTGAGCAAGTTTATTTTTTAAATTCTAATTTGCACATTTTCATGGTCAGTGGAGCCACAGTGACTGACAGTGGTGGGCAGCGCTAATTCAAAAATTAGTTACGCAATTTCTAAAGTGCTTATGTAAATACTTAGGTACGCAACCTCAAAAGTGCTTATGCTGTAGAAAAACTAGCAGAAGCAAATTTTAAAGCACAAGTTCAATTTGACACTTACTAGCTGACAATAATTCATGTACAATATATGTACAACACTGCCACCTAGTGGTGTATGAACCCTTTTACAGCTTACTAGTACAATCGCCGATTGTGGGGATGTGATTTCCTGAAACAGACCTTTAGCTCCTGGTGTAAAAATTAAAAAGTTGTTGAGGATTGCTAGTTCGGCTGCTTCTTTGTCTTTTTCTGTTGTTTGTTGTAGATTTTTTATTAAAGAAGCATCAATAAAGTAATTTTAAAACTGTTTATTGGAAAACTGAAGCGATGCATTCTGGGTACATGACGGATTTGATTTGTGACGGGAAACGAAAGCACAGAGTACAGGAAACCATCTTCACTTCAAAATAAGAGCTTGGATTTTAAAGTTTTCCATGTAGTTGCTCCAGTTGACCACTAGATGTCAGTCTTCATCAGCATAACATCTTTAAATCATTTCTGAGTCTCTAACCCCGTTGCTTCGACCAATTACACCAAGTATTGAGCTCCAGCGTTTAAATATTATTTTTTTAAAGGAGCTTCGACTGTAAAGTAAAATAAATCAATACATACAAAATTTTAGTATGGATTACAAATGTTAACTGTTTTTGCTGTTGCCTTCCTGCTACGTAAGCAGACACAAAGCATTGTGGGAAATCAGAACCGTGACCCAAAGCAACAGTCAGCAGGATGTATACCTTCACAATAAGAGTGTTTATCTGGGAGGGGTGCTGTTGGATAGATCACATGTGTTGTGATTCATTGACAGTCATACCTTCTGCTGTTCAACATAATGATGACTGGTAGATAATTAGTTATTAGTGGTACTGCTTTTTAATTTTAGAAAGCACAAACCCACTTATGGATTATAAAATTAGTGAGACCACTGAAGCACAAATGAAATATTTAGGTCTGCAGTTAGTGGATTTGCACTTTAGTAGACTGGTGCCCACCACTGGTGACTGACATTCTGATGGTTTCTCTGCAGCTCAGATCAGATTTAAAAAGCTGGGATTGTTTCTGATTTGAAGGTGAGGTTCTACGTTCCCTCCTCTCCTCATCTGTTTCTTCTGTTTTCTCCTCGCAGGCCCCCATGAGACTCCTGAACCTCCGAGGGTCCGCCACACAGCCCTGAGAGGAGAAGGAAGAATAAAACCAGGAGGACAAAGCGAGGGGAGGAGACGCAGCAGAAGAAGGCGCCGGGCGAGGAGCAGAGGGGAGGTTTGAAAAGAGGGATTTGCTCGATCTGTTGGGGGGTGCATGCTCCCTCCTGAGACCCTCCCCTCTCTTCTGGACCTCCTCACTTGTTTCTGCATTAGCGAGGGGCAGACACGAGGCAGAGAATGTGCAGTGAACGCAGGCTCAACGTGGCCGGGGGCCTGGACGTGAGACTCCCCAGGACTAGAGTCCTGCTGCTGGGCCTGGTGCTGCTGGCAGCGGGCGGGCCGGCACACGGGGACCTGGACCTGCTGGGCGGGATGGAGCTGATGGAAGCAGGGGGGGAAGGTGAGGGGCTGGGAGGAGACGGGGCCGACCTGGAGGCCTCCATGCACTCCTCGCTGCTGCAGGACTTCCAGGAGGCCACGGAAGGACTCCAGCTGCTGGAGGACAGCGAGACCAACGGGTCTAGGCAGGACCCCGCACCACCTGCAGCCTTCCCAGACTCCTTGGCCATGGTGGGCCGGGTTTTCCACATCAAGGTGCCAAACAAGATGGAGGAGGTTTCAATGGGAGATATAGTGAAGGTGAGTTCCCTGAACTGTCTGAATATATGGCTGACTCTGTTTGGGCCCAAACTTTGGGCAGCATTGGTTCAAGTCTTTAGTCCTGGACTCAGTCCTGTCTGAGGACTAGTTCCAGGACCTTTGTTTGTCTAAATACTCTGTCTGGACAAAGACAAAGGTCACTCTGATGTTCTGTTGGACCTTCATGTTTGATCACGGCACACATTTTGATAATCTGCAGTGTCAGCAGATTTATTTCATCCAGTGATTTAATTCTTCACCAAGATCTCACACTGATGATGGTAGAGTCTGACCTCCTCCAGCACATCCCAAAAATTCTTCATGGACTCTGTGGAGCCGATCCATGTGTGGAAATGATGTCTCATGCTCCCTGAACCGCTCTTTCACAATAAGAGCCCCATGAATACTGACATCATCATGTTGGAAAATGGCCGTGCCCTCAGGGAAGAAACAATCCACTGATAGAATAAACTGGTCATTCAGTTCCTGCGTTCTGGTTGTCCTGGGAAGTGGTAATTTCCCAGTTCCCATTGGTAAATTTAAATAATAATAATAATAAACTTTATTTATATAGCACCTTCCAACAATGCCTTGCATCGACCAAAGTGCTTCACAAGGTAAAACAAATACAATCAAGTCATAATAATCAGTACAAGTTAAAAACACAAATTACAGTAAAAGAAAGTAAAAAAGATTTAAATTTAAACTGGAACGCCCTCTCCAGTGGTAATATTCCACTGGTGTAGTGGAAGAAATGAAACTGCCCCCAGTTTCAATTTCAAGATGGCGGCTACTCACAGCTTTAGAAAGTTAACTCTGTAACTTTTACTGTTAATTATCTTTAATTTTTTTTGTGCCTGTTTAATCACTCACACAATACTGTGTTTATTAAAATCAATGTTTATTTGCATGACGTACGTAGCAGAGCTCTCTTTTTGTCATGTTTATGTTGTAGCAGTGTTGTAGCTAGGTTAGCCTGTCGGCTAACTGGAATGCAGTTGGTTCGTTGGTAAATGACATCACCAGTTCTGGGAAAACGATGTAAATGGAACTCAGCGAGTCTATTCAGGGAGTCAGCTGACCTGATTCTTCGAGCTGAACCTGGACCGGACCACCTGCTGAGTCCCACTCTGTCTTTGGGACAGAGACTGTAAATGATGGACTGAGTCATTTGCTTTGGAACAGAGCTGCAACAGTTCATGTATCGAACCGTTTAATCCACACTTTGTATGGAACAATCCAGATTTTTAACATTTATTTGATCAACTTGTCTTCTGAAGATGCTCTGTGCTGCAGGACTGTTCTCCTGGTGGCAGATGATCTGACCCTGGTCACATGTCACCATGTAAAGGACTAAAACAAGCTGCTGGGAGGTCGGACTGCAGAACATCCTTTTCAGGAACAATCAGTCAGGAACTAATCGGAGAGAAAAGCTGCTTCAGGCCAACATATTTGAAGCCATTCATGGAATATTCTGCTGTTAATTGCAGCACATTTTCCACAATGGTTCATTTTCTCTAATATATGTCGAGCTGCATGTGAGGAGGAGGCAGGAGCGCTCCCCCCTCCCCCCCTCTCCTTTTGTCCTCCTTTCTTCACCTGAAGCTGGAGCACATTTCACACATCCGTCTGGTCTCTCTCTAATTGTTTGGACACACTTTGTCGACTCTTTCACTCTCAGCTCCTCATTCCTGCTGCTCGTCCAACCTCCTCCTCCTCCTCTCTTTTTAATTACTCCTTCACTTTTCACCCCCTCCCTTTACCTCCCCCATCACATTCCTTCCTTTCATATCCTGCCCCCCTCCTCTTCCTCACCTCCATCCCTCCTGTCTCCCCCTCCTCCCTGTCAGATCTCCTCACACTGAATCGTGTTTCCAGCCCTGAGAACGTTTGTTGTACTTTACCTGCTCTAATGAAGCTCAGCACGTTTACATGAACCGGGGGGAGGAGTGGGGGGGGGACACACAACCATCACACCTGAATTCCTCTTAAAGGTAACAGGAAGTGCAGCGATGTCTGATTGTTTCTGCTCAGATGACTGCAGCTCAGTCTGCTGCAGCACCTGAAGGTGGGTTCTTGTCCTGGGTGGACCCTCGGCCACGTGTTGGCTCTCACCAGGTCCTCCAGTGGACGGACGCAGCTCGGTCCACCCTCTCTGTCAACGCTCTCTGGTTTCATTTAAAAGAGTCGATCATCAGATATTGTCCAAGATTAACCTTCAGGGTGGATATAGCTCGCTAGCAGCC